GGTGTGAGTTTTAAGCCACTGGGTCCGGGACACGAACCGCGGTCGACTACGTGGGAGTCCAGCAACATAGCCATTACACTAACTGCTGATTTCCTTCATTTATTTTTTTAAGCTTTGCCATAGGGTATGTGTGCTCACTAGAGAGAGAGGAAGAGAAAGAGAGAGAGGGAAAGTGAGAAAGCAAGCCACCAGGCCTGGTACTTGAGCCATAGTTGGCCACTTGGGAGTCCAGCACTTTAACCACCATGCCACACGCTGGTACCACCATCCGCCCTTTCAGAGCCATGTCCCCTTTCTCCTGCACTCCAGGCACCCCTACGGCTTGAAACTACATATTACATGGGTGGTTTCTCTGCCCTCTATGTTGAGACTTCATTGAGGGCCTGGACTTGTTTGCTGTACTTATGCCTGACACAGACCAGAAGGACCACCATCCCATTACCCAGCCACTGAGAAACCACCACCCAGCTGGCCGCTCCCATTTGCCTCTGCCCACATGGTCACCATCCCTTTCTTCCCCTAACCCCTTCTCAGCTCTCCCAGGAGAATGGCTGTGATGGGCTGCCTCGTTGCTTCTGCAGGTGCAACCTGCCCCCCATCTCAGAGAAGTACACCATGGATGTGGGGGTGAAGACGGACGTGGTCACCGTGAACCCCAGCATCATCACAGAGAGGTCAGTGGCCTGCCTTCCTTCTGTCCAATGGGGTAGCCAGTAGTCTCAGGTGGCTTCTGGGCACTGGGGTTGAGATGTGCTAGTTATGAGTGGAAAATACGTAAGGTTTCAAAGACTTCATACCAGAAAAAAGAATAGAACTTATCTCGTCAATTTTTATATTAATTTCATATAAAAATGATAGTGTTTTTGGTATACTGAGTTAAATAGAATACATTGAAAAAAGGAACTTTTAAAGTTTTTTCCAACTTTTAAAATGTGCTTACCAGAACATGTAGCGTTACATAGGTGACCTGCATGATATATATATATATTTTTCCAAGATTTTGCCATAGGGTACATCTGCTTGCTGAAGAAAGGCAGAGGCAATGAGAGGGAAAGTGAGAGATCACCTCCAGGGGGAGCCCTTCTCCAGTCTCCTCCTGGGATTGTGGGCACACACATGTACATAGCACACCTGTCTGCCTGCATGGTATTTCTTTTGGACAGTGCTGCTCTAGACCACCCTCTGCTGAGATGGGTCAGAGACTTCCTAGTCGGTGACCAAGAGGAAGCAGCTCTCTGCCTGCTGGATCCAGGCAGCATGGGGAGAAGCCTTATTGCAGAGATCTCCGGCTCTCCGCTTGGCAACCCCCTGGGGTCTTTCTCAGCAGTTTCAAGGGAGAAGGGGGTTGACGTGTTGAATCCCCACCTCTGGAATAGTCACACCATCCAGGCCAGATGAAAGGTAAAAGGAGGGGACGGCAGGAGACCGGAGACAGGAAGAGAGGTTGTGAAACTGGATCAGGTGCCCAGGGAACACCTATTTAAGAGGTGGGAAGAGGCAGCAGAGTCTGCAAGGTCACAGTGTGAAGGAGGGTGCAGAGATGTGACAGGGCCCTAGAGGGAAGGCTGTTTGATATAAAGAAAGTGTGTGTGAGATTTGCTCAGAAGCTGCTGAGAGGGACTGCAACAGGCCAGGAAGTGGCATTTGGGGTCCTTCAGTGGGGATCTTGGGGAAGACACTGCAGATGAGTGATGTGTGACTCTAGGGAAAGCCTCCACTCCTGGGCCACTTCCTCCTGAGCCCAACCTGGCTGTGCACACCCTAGACATTTGCCCCTCTGTGTACGTATTGCCCTCCTTTGCTTCTATCCACTTTTAAAAGTATAAGTTCCTCCGAGAAAGGCCAACTTCATCTGCATGAGGAGAAAGGAGGCAGGGAAGCCTGTGGGTTCCCTCCATCCTTTGCGAAGTCCCCAGGCGTCAGCGTTGGGGATGCAAGGGGTGTTCTGGAGGAGCAGGCGGTGGCCCTCACACCTCCGCTCCCTGTGCAGGTTCCACAAATTGGAGAAGTGGCGGCGGCCCTTCTACCGCGTGCTGCAGGTGTACGAGAACGCATCCGTGCTGCTGCCCGCCTTCTACAACACGCGCAACACCGACGTGTCCATCCGCGTCAAGTACGTGCTGGACGACTTCGAGTCGCCGCAGGCCGTCTACTACTTCCACCCGCAGTACCTGGTCAATGTGTCGCGCTATTGGCTCAGCCTGGGCGTGCGGGCCAAGCGCATCAGCACCGGCCTCATCCTGGTCACCGCGGCGCTCGAGCTCTGTGAGGAGGTGCACCTGTTCGGCTTCTGGGCTTTCCCCATGAACCCCTCGGGCCTCTACATCACCCACCACTACTACGACAATGTCAAGCCACGCCCCGGCTTCCACGCTATGCCCTCCGAGATCTTCAACTTCCTGCACCTTCATAGCCGCGGCATCCTCCGCGTGCACACAGGCACCTGCAGCTGCTGCTGATAGAGGCCACACCAAGCTGCCCAGCAGATAGACTCTTCTTCTTCCCTCCTGCTGGAACTGAGAGCCCCTTGCAGGCCACCGGAGGCCTGGCCTTAGGGCTGTCACTCCCTCAGTAGTTCAGCTTTGTGCTTGGGTCCTGGGGCGGGAGGCGGAGATGGGACTGGAGCGGAGAGCTTTGTGCTAAACAGCCCGGGCATGGTCTCAGCCCTGCGCCTCCACCTGCCCACGGGTAGCATGCTGCTGGGTCACACCCCAAGATCAGAGGGTTCTGGGGATTGCAAGTGAATAAAGCACATTTCCACTTAATTTTAGCAGCTGAGAGAGCACAAGCAGTATGGGCCTTATTGCAGCTACAGGCAGGTCCTACAGAGAATGGAGGAGGAGAGAGGACACTTGATAGGATACTTGAGCAGTCAGGATTTAATTAAGACTTTTGGGTTCCTGAGTTTTATAGTGAGGACTCAAGCCTCAATTGTGATCTAGGATCCTAGAGCCTGGAAGCCACCCCAGCGACCAGAACTTTTCAGTGAGGAAGAAGTGGCTCAGAGAGGTCCCAGGATTTATCCACAAGATCACGCCAGCTGATGGGTTCATGAAGTAACGTTGTGAGAGCTAATTTGGGGCCTGTGTGAGGATCTTTGCTGAGACACCATCAGCTGAAAAGAGCCACCTCCTTTCAAACACACCCTTGGACACACATGCACACACACACACACACACACACACACACACACACACACACACACACACACACACACACACACACACACACACACACACACACACACACACACACGTCGTCTTGGTGCCTCCAGGTTCAATCCTGATGAGAAGGAAATAAACTAGACCAGCCATTTGCACTAAGGTTTCCAAGCCAATCTTATCGACTCAATAAGTGCTTAGCAATTCGCTTCCTCTTCTGTCTCCCTATTTTCAGCTCTGTTTCAACCAGGAGTTATTTATAAAGATCTGTTCCTCTTTATGTTCTTGAATACCGCAGAATCCTGCTATATTGTGTTCCCGAATCGGAACCATAAGGCTCCGGGCTGGAAAGCGCTGACGTGTCACGTGCTGAGTTTTGCAGATGGAAGCGACTCATAGTCTCCGACACCAGCATCGCTGAGGTTTCTACTGTGAAGGCAGGACTTCCTATGGTGCATGCCTGGTGGCCTTCACATCCATGGACTCACAGGGCCTGGGCTCGGGGGAGTAAGCTGTGCCTGGAGGAAAGGGGCTCACAGTCACTTCATACCTGCAGTTCATTTCTTTTGCTTCCCCCTGTGGTGTTTCCACCGTTGATGGGACTGCCTAGCAGACACTGTTGGTGAATTGCCTTAGAGCTTGATTTTGCAGAATCATGGAATGTTAGTGCTGGGAGGACTTTAGCCTGCCTGCATTCTCCCCTCCCCCCCTTCTTCCCTCCCGTAACCCCCATCCTTCTTTCCTTTCTTCTCTCTTCTCACCCTCCTCCCTTTTCTCCCTCCCTCCTCTAAACATTTCTGGAAAGGCTTTTCTGCTTTGGTCTGCAGTTGGACTTGGGAGGACTTGGTGACAAAGAAGGGCATTATCTCTGTCTTCTGTGGGTGGAGGGCAGAGTTTCAATGAATTGCAGTCCCACATGCCAGTGCTGGAGGAGGACTGGGCGCAATGAGAATGTACTTGAGAGTGGGACATTCTGTCTGCTCACCTCATTGTATAGGCAAAGCCATAGACCCAGCCACCAAGATGGGGAGATTGCAGGCCTGGAGTTCTTGGTCCAGGGCTTCTCTCCTGGCCAGACCCCATAGTCTTGGCTGTGTTTCATGTTGGTGGGTTGTTCTGAAGCTTGTGTTCCATATACAACACTGGTCCAGATGTTGATGCCCACCTGTGTCCTGAGCTCTGGTCCCAACTGGGACAACCTCAGGCTTCTCTGAGCCTTAGTCTGCTGGTCTGGAAATAGGAGAGTGGCCAGTAAGACAAAGTGGGCCCAAACACTGGGTAAACCAGGGAAGACTACACAAGGACAGTGGTGGTTATTACTTGCTCAGGATTTGCCTATTTCCTTCAAAGAAGGAACTTCTGGGAAAGATTTCAGTTAAATGAGATTTCAAGTCCTTCTTTGTGGCTAATTGAACTCTGTTCTTGAGGCCATGAAATATCAGAACTGGGAGACTCAAAGACCATTTTGTCCCACTTGAGGAAGTAGGCCCAGAACAGGGAAGTGACCCGGAGCAAGTCATGCCAGAGGCTCTCCCGAGTGCCTCAGGTGGACAGAATGCTCTACTGGAAGCCCCGTGGGAAATACTTATGTTCTACATGGGCAGTGCTTGGGGGCAGGAGCCTGAGTCAGACATTAGTGTCCACAGCCAAGGGTGTTGATGGCTGGAAACTGCCTTGTAGAAGCTGCCTTAGTAGAGCATCAGGAGCGGTCTCATGTAGGAATTGCCACATCTGGCCATGGCTGTGATTCTACCTGTGGGTCTTAGGGCAAGTCTCTCTCTCCCTCAGGGTCTCAGTTTTCTCATATCTGCAAGTAGAGGTTTAGAAAAGATTTCTAAGGTCTCCGTGATCTCCTTTTTCTTGGGGAGGGGGCATTCATGATGTGTAGATCTAAGCCATAAATAATATTTGTTATCATGATCACTAGGCTTTGCAGCACTCCCGTTCTGTGCCAGGGGCCGCACTGAACAGTTGCTATGCATTATCTTCTGCAAGCATCACAAGACCCCCTGAGGTATAGATGAGGAGACTGAGGCTCAGAGTGATTTATGGACTTGCCCATGGTCAGTTTTTCATGGATACTAATGTACTTGTACCCAAGTCCATAGAACCCCAATGCCTGTGCTCCAACTCTCTGTCTTAGCTTCTCAGCCAGTGTCACCAGGGCTGGAACAAGAGGGATATTGATTGAGATGCTGCTGCAGGGTGATAGTGGTCTCTGTTCTAGTGACAGTTGCTCTGGAAGGCTGGCATGGGTCCCAAGTTAGCATCTGCTTATTTGTGTCTATCCCCAACCCTGCCCCCTGCAGTAGCACTGACCTACTCGCAGTGGTACTGGAGAGGAACTGAGACTACATCCACATTATGCAGGTGAGGACAGATGTCCAGGAAGCGTAATGTTAAGTGACATCGTGAGTGACTTTGCCAGGGCCACCTGGCCAGCAAGGCTCATCTGGGACTCATCCAGCCTCCTGATTTTCAGACAATGTTCTTTATCCTGGCACCAGTATAAGAAGAAAGCTTTTTTCCAAAGGCTTAGAGAAACCTGGCCAATGACTCTGGAAGCCTCTGCCATGTTTGTCCACAGCCTTGTCACCATTCCATCGTGTGGTACACACTACCAATTAAATTCCTATTTAAGGGAAATCAATTCCTCACAAACCAAACAACCACCTGTCTTCCTTTGTGCTAAACCTGCTGCTCCAGGCTTGAAAGGCAACGACAACTAAATAACTCAGTGCTTAGCCAAGCACAAAGGAAGATGGCTCAAGGTCAGATGTGGTCTCAGAGACCATTTCAGCATCGCTGCTACGGCAACTGCCCACTAATCACCTGGTACCAGTGCAGAGACAGACTTGGCTGAGTGTGGGCAAGAAGCAGAGGCAGCGCCCTGACAGCTGGGGGAGAGCAGAGTGCTGGCGTCAGCCCATCATCACCAGCTATTCGTGAGTGCTCTTCTTATGCCAGACATCATGCAAGGTGCCAGGGGACTGATGACAAAATGTAACCCCTACCCTCCTGGGTCTTAGGGTTTTTTTCTTTGTGTGTGTGTGTGTGTACAGATGTGAAGTGAAGAATCTCACCAACATACACAGGAGTTTGCTGTGCTGAGTCGAGGTCCCAAACAGTTATCTGGGAGAGGTGGGGAAGGGAATTCTGAAGACTGGCAGCATGAAGATTGTAGTGGCCAGAGCAAGGGCTACTTCTCAGGTCTCATCCATCACATCTATGTAACATTTGACAGGGCTGACCTCTCTGGTCTTTTTGGAGTCCCTTCCTCTTTTGTTTTTAAACACACCATTTTCCAAACTTACCTCCTGTCTCACTGAATGCTCCTTCTCAGGCTCCTTTGTTGATTTATCTTCAGTGACGCTTCCTCAGGGTTCTTTTCTCTTACTAGGGGCATTTCTGCAGAAATCTCATCTATTCACAGCCTCAAGTATCTCCTGTCTTTGCGTCTTAAACCCCTCCCCTGCAGACCCGTTCTCCCCAGGAGCATCTGGAGGTGCTCCCTGTGCCCTCCTGAATGTGTTTCTGCACAGCTTCTCAAGCCTCAACGTGACCTTAATTGGTGTAGTTAAAAGAACGATCTGGACTCAGAGTCTCCTCCCACTACTTAGTAACTGGGAGACTTTGAGGAACCTCCTGCAAACCCTGGAAGCTATGATTTATTAACTGGAAAATGAAGATCAGGACATCAAACAGCTTCTACGAAGGTTAAATAAAATACATGATGCCTGGCACAGGATCTAGCACGAACTAGACACTCCGAAAGTTCAAGTCCCTCTGTCCAGATCCTGGGCCGTCTTTGCCACTTCCTTTCTCTTCACTCGTTATGTCTACTTGTCCACTGAATTTTCTCAGTTCTAACTCCTGAATATCCAAATTTACTTCCTCCCCACAGCCCCTCTGCCCCTTCCCTAACTCAAGCCCTTCTGACTGATATTTCAGAGAATCACCTTCTGAAAACACCTTTTGTGGGGCCTACTGCCTGCCTATACCATCAAGTCCAGATTTTTTTTTTTTACCCAGTCATGCAGGGCATCTCCCCAGCTGATTTATCACCTTCCCAGAGGCAGTCCTTTTACTGTCCATGCCTTTGCACAAGCTGTTCAAAATGCCTGGAATGGCCCCACACTCCTGCTTCCCTCTCTCCTCCCTCTTATCTGGCCACTTTTGCAGATGGTGACAGGTTATGGCCCTGCATCGTCCCCTCTGTAAACATGGACTGGGCACTCTCTCACTGTGCTTCAACCATGACTGTCACTGACTTCTGTTAGGACATCCTCATAGCACATAGCAGAAGTGTTCCTAGCAGAGAGTCTGTCTTTACCCCAAGGGAAGATGCGGTATCTAACTGACTTCATGCCCCAGCGCTGGTGCAGAGATCAGTGTGGTGGATGTTCAACGTGTGTTTACTAGAGTAATGAGGTCTCTGGTTACCTAATGAGCTCCAGCAGTTAGGTGACCCCATTAATGAACTGAGTAACACCTGGGGGAAATTGTCAACCAAGGAGAATCCTCTCTTGATTATTTTTTGCCTGGTACATTCTAAGTGGGCTGAGAATCCTTCTTCCTGTCCTTGAGAGTTTGGGGCCTAGAGGTGGGAATGTCTGGTACTGGTGGCTTGTCGGCTCCACCTCCCAGTCTCTGATATCCACTTTTAATTTCCACCCATTATTTTTTCTTGCTCATCTGCTTCTTGCCTGTTAATCTTCCTCTAATTTAAACAAAAGGGAAAAACATTTTCTAGTTTCCTTCCTTTTCCCTTCCTCAAAGCTAAACAGATAACATCAGAATCTCATGTCGCTGTGGCTGAGGTACAGGCTTAGTATCCGTATACAAGAGATTTATCAAGAGTGTCTCAAAAACTAGAGGAAAATGAGGCCTTTTTTTTGGTTGGGAACAGATGAGCTGAGTTTTGCAGAACGTCTGCCCCAGATGCCCTGTAAATGGTCAGGAGCTTGGGGTTGTTACCTTGTGGGCCCCAGTGGTGCTGCTATAAGTTCTGAACACACTTGGTC